AATAGGAATCGAGCGTGCCATGTGAACATTTTGAAGGCCATTGAAAATGCGAGCGTTCGATCTCGTATGAACGACGACGCGAGCTAAACAATTATTGATTCTAACTTTTTATTTCTACAAAAGTCGCACGACTTTGTAGGAAACAGTGCGTAAAAGTTGCAAATACGATTCCGTTGGTCTCCATAGCAGGTTGTAGTAATTCTAACACGACCTTCGAACGAGTCGATGAAAATAATTGCAACGGCTGCTCATTATTTAACGCGATTTCCCGGTGAAGGGTGGACGTTGACGGAATATCGAGCCCTTTGGCCCGTGTTCATGATAGCCAGCGACCCCCATTGATATTCCGTGCGCAGAGTGAACCAAAATTCAATATCCCGGACCGAGGAGCCTCGAAATCGCAGCGTTGAATTAATAATTTTGTTTTCGAGCGGTTTTGGACGAAACTCGATTACTGGATCGGCGAGAAAAATGTTGTACCGCTGAAACGATTTGTTTCATTGCACAGAACGCGGTGAGATGTATGATATCGAAAGCGTAGAACTTTTTACAATGTTCGTTGGGAAAAACCATCTATCGTAATCCTATTTCTCCGATCGCATCCTTAAACTGAGGGACAATGTAACAATACCAGTAGACACCAAAGAAATTCATCTATCAGAGGAATGAATGTTTAATTCCGAACGAAGAGTAGCGTAACTCGCGTGCGACAGCCAAGGAGTGTCAAAGAATGAGATTGAAACACCAGGGAATGGATTTCCACGTTCCCCGAGCTCTTTCGGGATATTTCAGCCTAGGATTCAGAGGTGGCAAGATGAAAATAATTTAATATTTCAAGGAGACGCAGGAAATATTTGATCGCGAAGCAGTATCTCTTTCACGGCGGGAGCTGCGGCTACGGGAAACGCGTACGATTCGCCTCGAAATCCCAGGTCATCAAGAAGGATGCGTCGACATCGACAAATTTCGTTGCCGGGAATATCCAGCAACACCTATTCCTCCTTTCCAACGGTCCGTCGCCTATGAAAATTTGTCAGGGCCGCGATTTTCACGCGAGGATTCCCCGGCCCGCCGGAATAATACAGCGCGCGATCGTATCCTCGGCGCAGGACTTATCCTCACGTGCCATATCCTGCGAATATCGATAAACGATTCGGGCCCGGCTCCTTCCCGCACTGAATTCTATATTCAAAAGCTGCTGAAACAACGAAAAAATTCAACGAAACCGCGGATAGATCGGGGAACTTTTATCCGGGATGAAACTTGCCGCGAACATTCCACGACGATGGGAATAAGTGTACGCTCGTGGAAAATAAAAGTTCGAAAACGAGCTAGAAATTACTTGTCGAATACTTCTCTTGTTTCGTTTCAGTGGTTCCCGTGTTTCATTAACCTCCTTGCTATTCTTAGTTGGTCTCAACCCCTTGCGTTGTAACATCGAGAATTTATCGCGTATTCCGCGACACCGTCTAATCTAAAGCACCACGACTGATAACAAAAGATAGAAGAAGAATTTCATGAAATTTGCATCTGCTAAAATCGACAGTCGGAAATTAATTGTCATCCATCGATTTCATAACCGTGTAGGATGGAAGTTTGATCGTCATCTTCGTTTCGCAGACGCCGCAAGAGGTCCATGAATCTTTCCATTGACACTGAACCTTCCGAGGTTCTACCTCGCTTGTAACGACGCCTCCTCGGAAGCACTAATAACGCATACTTAAATATCAATAATAATGGGGAATCCAGGAAACAATCGTGTAATCCACTGCTTAATTGTATAATTACGTTAACACCTCAACGCATTACGAGCGATCAAGATATCTCGTTTATTCCGCTCCCTGAAGTGAAACATTTAGCAGGGTGACACGGCAGTCAAAGAGCTACGAGTTCAGACACCAGGAAACGTATCAATGGCTCAAGTATAAGCGTCGTCGTTTCCATTGCTGTATATTCCCAGCAAACAGGGGAAACGGCTGTTCGGGTGTATTACGAAAAGCAGGGGTGAGTGGCTGGTTCCGTTTCTGTTTCATTGAACGTCGCGTCGCGCGACGATCGCGTTGAATTACGAACGCCGAGAAATTCAGCCGGCGGTGCCGCGCCCGCCATTCGGCCGGCGTTAGCCGGTGCTCGCGCGAATTTTAATTACGGCGCGGACGTTACACCGCCGGAACCGTACACCTTCCCGCACCCACCGACGCCATATTTCATACTTTCCGACGCGCGCCCGTCCTTCCGTGACTCGCATTTCAGAAACGCCGGGGTTGTACGCTTGTCGCGCGACTGTCCGATCTTGCTTAACCCTTCAGCGAGATAGGTCCTCGCGTGCCCTAATTTTTCCACTTCCGACAGTTAAATCTGTACATTTCGCAGCGGGCATTCAAGGTTTAACGCTTTCACCGGCGAGTCACGCAAATTTGGGCGACGCAATTCTTTATGTAAACTTCAACGTTAATCATCTCTTGGATGTGAGATGCGAGGAAGATAGTAGCGATCTTTCGACTGCATAGAAGTACAAAATGTACCTTCAACCCTCTTACAGTGCTTTCACCTCTTCTTGAGAACTACATTTCCCGTAAGTCTCATAAAAATCGGCGTGTGCTAATTGAAAAGATTTCCGTGCTTCCATTAACACTAGAATTACCGAGCATTTAATACGATTAATATATAATACCTATAAAAATTGTAACAATAGATTATTTTCAGTTTCTTCGGACATTCGTTACAGTACTCTCGTGGAACTATTTATTTTCAAAATCATTTCGAATATTCAATGCTTCGGGGATATCAATAATTACTAAAAAAAAATCGAAACCAGTCGTTTTGACTGGTACGGTAGTTCTAGTGTTAAACATCGAACTGTATAGTTCTGATATATCGAATCAGATGACTGAGAGTCGCGTCTCGAACGCAGAGGGTTAACCTTTGAATTTTTTAAAATTCCACGATTGGATCATCGCGACACCATCAAAACGTCGCACACCTGAAATGATAATACCCGTCCCAGTAATCGGGACACCGTGGCGCAAGGGTTAACCTATCTCCGGTTTCCACGGCGTCGGTGAACGCACGGGCCGATGGTCGTTTTGTTACCCGCGAAGAATGCGCCGCGATGTCTCACCCCGAAGACAAAGCGAAGCGTCACATTCTTTTTTCCTCGCCGTCCCTATTTGTTTACGTACATATCGCCCTTCGCCGCTCCCGGCTTATATTTTCCCGAAGAGCCGAGCACTCGACGTGCCCGCGCCGCTATCGGACGACATTGTGGCGAGAGCGCTTGAGAAATCTCACCTTATCAACGACATTTTGTCTCCCCGCTGCACGGCAGGGCACGCCTACACGCGGAAACGTGCGCCCCGTGTGATGGAGACTCGGGGAAATAGAACGGATCGACGCGAGCAACGATCAACAATGTTGAAACCCGACGACGGAGAACGTTGCGCCTTGAATAATTCAAGGTTAACGCGATCTACCCACTTGTCCCTTGCTCCCGTGGACATGTGTAAGTGTGATTCTAACTTGACCGTATTGGAAGCTGACGTCAAACTTCATTGACTCCCGACGCTAACTATCGAGCCGTCAGATTGATTTTTTCGAATATTTTCTTTTAATTTTCTGTAGCAGTGGAGTTATCGAGGCCTCAATTGCTTGTATATTAGATCAATTTCCTTAGCAATTTCTCAGAGAAGCCTCCATTATTTTAATAATTGGGAAAGAAGCAGCGTAAAGACGCGTAAACAATTCCTTCTCGCTAAAAACTAACTCACAAATTCCTAGATTCTTAACCTCTTGCGCTAGAAAGGCGCGCCATGCGCAAGTTTTCGTTCTGAAACTCCCAGTGACATCTTACGCACATCGATAATCTCGTTGCTTGCGCACACCAGATTGTTTCGAAATGTATCACGCTACACATAACTCTTAGCAAGGAAATCAGTGTACACATCCGCGTGAAATATGTAAGAACAAAGTTCTTCGCGCGAGACCTCGCCGAATCTCTGAATGAGTCTCCAGCGCAAGAGGTTGGAACATTATTCAGACGGCGGCAGCTAAACACGATCTTGCCGAAACGAAGATACAAGAATGTTCACCGACAACCGTGCGACCGTGAGCCCGACAAATCCAACACGGGACGTGTCGCTCGACGCGGAGGCAGCTCCGAGGAAATTAACCGGAAAAGAGCGGCGTCGCACGCCGCGCCGCTAATTTCACCGGCTAACAATGCTGAACGTAATTCACCGTTCACGAAAACAAACATCGAAATCAGCGTTCCGCTGAAACCGTGGCCCGTTATCGGCCAAAGGGATCTGGCTGTCTGACGCACGCGACGGAGCAGGGAGAGGAGGAACGTTGACCGAACGGCAGACGATAGCGAATCTGTTTGCTCGATTCCCGGGTCAGAGTTCACCGGCAACGTCGCATTCTTTGCAGAAAGGACGCAAAAACGGACTTTGTCGTGGCCTTGGCTCGGCCGCCGGTCACACGCGGAGGATTACGCGGTCGCTGAAGGTCGGCACGTAAAGCTACACCCTCGGCGAGCCGATAACAAGAAACTTCTTGTTGATGCACGAGCAACCTTCGAACAACACGGCGCTCGTGTTGCGTGTAGTCTCGAACAACAACGGGCAAAAACTCTGACAACCATCGTGTAACGCAATTCAATCGCTCGGCTTTTTCGACGCTTTTGTGAACGCGTTCTGTACACTTCGCGTTGCTCCTATAGAAATAGGTGTTCATACGGATCTCGGAAATTCGAGGAAACAACTACGACATGCGTAAACTTCTGTGTTGATAAAATTCAGTCCGATTGACCGTCTTATTCGAAAGGTGATCGTATCGCGAAAGAATCCCCTAGACTTCCTGTGATCTTGAATCGAACTCGAACGTTCCCGGTTGCTTCGATGTAAGTAGAATCTGTCTACAAACAGACCCAGCGAGAAGCTCCCGAGCGTAGCTCCAGTGAGGACATAGCCTAACAGCTCGCGAAAACGTCGGGAAGAAGAACCTCCTCGACGAGCTCGCTCCCACCCGACGTTTACTCGGAGATCGACTTTTAATCTTGACACGATAACGCGGACTTTTCCGCCGCGATTCCGCCGAGCGCGAGGCAGCAGTGTGTCGTTGACCACCGTGGCGACCGCTCAACCTCGGCACCGCGACGAGGTCCACGTACAATCCCCAGTCTCATCCTCTAACCTCTCAACTTTCTAGCCCCATCCCTTCCTCTTCTTCTTCTCCCTCTCTGACCCCTGTTCTTCGTCCCGCCACTCCTTTAAACCCGGGGGAAGGAAGAAGATCGCAACCCGGGATTCACCGAGGAATTTCCCGCGGCTCCTCGCACCCTCCACTTATCAGATTCCCTCCTCCGAGGAGACGTCTCTTTCCGATCGGTAATTAACTTTGCTCCTCCTGCTTCTTCTTCGTCTTCCGGGCCGTCTCAACCGCGCTGCCCCGTGATCGTCGGCGAAGGAGCGGCGCGAAGGTGATCGCGGCGAGTTCCAATCAATTAGGAAAATCGTAATTTGTGCGGGGGATCGTTGGGAAGAGGAGAGTTCGAGGGACCACCATGTATTCGGCGCTGTTGCTAGTGAGATCCAGCAGGCTTGGACGTTATCCAAGGAGATTGGCTTCGTCCACCCCGGGCCTGAGGATTCCCGATCAACCAGTACGTGCTTTCTCTATTTCTCTCTCTATCTGGCCGCGTACGCGCCGCGCCGCGCCGCCCCCGTGCCCTCCTCGCTCTCTTTTTCTCCGTCGTTCCGAGGCGAAGCCGGCGGATCGATCGAACACCGCGACGATTGGGTGCTCCGGCACCCTGATTCAATTTTTAACGCGT